ATATCATGGAAAAACTACAATGAAATATTCGTTTATCGAATCTAACATCTGCGTATCTAAACATATTAATATATCTATACATCTAGATGTTCATATATAAAAGTACAAAAATAAATAAAATTGAAGAGTCTGTAATATAGAAATAACTACTTTTCTACAAGCTATCGTAGTTAAAAGTAAAAGCAGAATTTACACCAAAGTAACAGGCTATAAGCGACGTACACGGGCGGGCTGAAAAGTTACTAGTATCAAATCCATGTGATTTTTAGTTAGCCGTAACCTTCAAAAGACACGTGTATAAATTTGACAGCTGTTGCACTACTAGTATCTGAGTGACAAAATTCCATGAATTGTACTTCGAATTGCTTCCGTATCCAGTGTACTGTCCAGATCTGGCCCATAGCGATTTCTTTCTGTTCTCAGACCTCAAGAGGATGCTCGCTGGACAGAAATTTCGCACCGATGAAGAGGTAATCACCGAAATTGAAGCCTATTTTGAGGCTAAAGACGAATCGTATTATAAAAATGGTATCGTAAAATTGTATGACTGCTACAATCGTTATATCGCCCTCGAATAATAAAATCAAATTCTACCAAAAAAAATAATTTTTTCTATGCTAGCTTACGAACTTTTCAGCCCGCCTGTTATGTAAGATACGCGATATGTAGTACTCGCAGAAAAGACATGTCATGTAATGGGAACTGTTCAGACAGAATCGACGACGATACGGTTCAAAGGAATATCATCTACCAGTAATGGGCGATTCGAATTTTGTTGCATATTTACAAATCAGCAATTTATATCCTTTTTGGAAATAATCGGAGAAACAAGTTACAACAAAGTTGAGAAATTATCTTGTTTAGTTCAATTTAGTTCTGTAGCAACCACCCGTACCGAATTATATTTAGCAAGTTGAAAGGTCACACAATATCGACGTTCACTTTTCTTAATTTTCTGTTGTATTTACTCCTCGCAGCATGTACCTTAGTAAAGAATTACTACTACGCCGTTTGGCTTGGATGTTTTGGTTATTCTCTCTTTAGTAATATTATTCCATTCTTTTTATTGCATAATTCAAATCTTAACTCTAGCTACTAAGATTATAAATATGTGAACTTGTTTGCTTATTTATATGCATGCACCCACTCCCTGGAACCACGAAGGTGATAGTAAAGATTCTTTGACTAATAAGAAAACTGCAATATCTTTAAATGATATAGGGTAGGAATATATATATTTTCTCCTAATGCCTGTAAGTCAAACAAAGTGGTTGGTTTTCCGACGTGCGCTGACCTGCACACATGTCATGTACTGTTTGTCTTCGTGATCGAATTAGCCATTCACATTTACATTCAAAAATTTATCATTGCCCTACGCCTGGTGAAGCGGGCAGGGCTTGCTAGTTTTCAGAAATATTTTAGTACCTACCAAAATTATATGACACAAAATTGATCCCCTTTGCCTCACGTAACGGGACCGTAAGACACTTCTTCCCTTACCACTTCGTTATATAAAGTGTGCACTATAAAAATTTTAGGCTTCTGTTAGAAAAGTGTCTCTTTATATAAAATAATAATTCAATTTTAGACAAATTCTGAAATCGTTAATTTTGACTCTCTTCAACCCTCACGTAACAGGATCGTAACACTCGACTAAACCACCCCTCCTAATTAGAGTCGTATGTATAATTTATTGCGTTTGTTCCTTGTGAACACTGTCCTTACTAGTAACGGTCCATATTGCATATTTGGCCATTTTTTGTTTTAGTGGAATTGTTTTTGTTTATTTTTAAAAACCTTTACTAAATTCTTGTTATTGCAACTATAAACAAATGAAAATTAAAACAAGCCTACATGACCTAGATATTAGAAATCAAATAAGAGTGGAAAAATTATTGAAAAATTGCTTAAAAAGGCATCAGTACATTTTCGAACACAGCTTCTATTTAGTTTATTTTTGATGTCCTTTTCTAAAGTAGGAATGACTTTTTTTGCATTGAGTCCACTTACCCAGTCTTTTCTTTTCGAATTTCATCGTGGTAATGATGAGTTATTTACGTGCGTATCACATGAAAACTCACTTACTACTTGTTAGATTTTTATTTTGTATCAAATATTTATATTGCTGTATTAACAATGTCAAGAGGTTTACTGTACTAGAATCATTGATATCGATTGACAGAAATAAACTATAAACATTTTACGACTTGTAAGTAAATCTACAATTTAGGCTTTATTTTATTGTCAGCAGATTAAAAAGAATAATCACATCGTACATATATGTGTATGATAGAAGAGGTAGGCAGTTATCATATATAAAGACTAGTTACAAGGTCAAAATTTTCTAATGCTTGCCAGCCTACATGAGGATGATACGTGAGTTGATGTTTAAAACATTGTAGCTTAAGGAGTAATTTTTATAATAAATACTGAAAAGTGTACCGGAAGTTTCGACGTTCACGTATTAAAATAATAACAGCCTATTCTTCAGTTATTACTTGAATTTTAAACTCTAACAAGAAAGCGTTTCTAAAATGCCCAAAAACGATTTATGGTAATGATAGATCCTACAAATGAGAAAACACAAATCCTTATCTACGATGAAGTGAAGTTTCATACAATAAACGCATTAATTATTAGGTTATCGAAACTTTATCTATCTCTGTTAATGCAATATCGTAGATAGATTGCTTTCCGTAAAATTATTATTTTGATAGGAATTCAGGTGCTCACACATATGATAAACATACATATGTTGAAATAATAGTTGTAAACAGTTCTGACAAATTGTAAGCGAATGTTTAGCTATAGTTGGGACATTGAAAATTGGCATAGCCCGCAATAAAACTTTCGCATTTTATTTCTTCTTTCGGTTGCTGACAGAACGCCTACTCTTACTCACGACAGACTTGGAGGGAATATCATAAATATAGAAAACAGATGCAGGCAAGTAGAATTTGAGTATGTTGTCTGTACCGGAATTCAAAAAATGTTCAACATTCTCAGGAATATAGGAAAGTAAAGACGTTTGTTAAAAGATATAATTCCAACCAGGCAGTTATAACATCGACCCTGATCTTTTGCGTACCTAAGCAACCCCTAAGCGCTTACTATTATTCGGTTATCTCTTTTCACTTTGTCTGTACTACTCATGAAGCATTTCCTAATTGAACAAGGTCGTGTTCAAAAAGCTTCAAATGACTGCAGTCCCAAGTGGAAACAAGAAAGAAGGTACATCCCTTCTCGCAGAAAATTAATTGCGGACTTCGCCAATATACTGGGGTCTTTTAGAACGCATCAAAAAAGAATTATAGAATGGGCTTTCAAAAATTGCGACCTTTTTTCGTATTGAAAAACAAAAAGCACTTACCCCATTTAACCACAACAGTTTTAATTAACGTGTACATATGTTATCAAAAAGTATTGTAGTTAATAGGAGTAAATTCTTTTTATTTTAATTATTTCTATCGCCGCAGTCGTCTTTTTCTACGTTTAATCTACAAAAATATTAATCAATTAATTTTAATGGTCTTTAACGTAATATTCCTATCATAATACTTGACATACATGAGTAAACTTCAGACAATAAGTAGGTAGTAATTCACTGTAATGCTAATGGTGATAATATTGTAGTGCTCTGTCTCTATAGATCATAATGTAAAGACTAATTCTATTATCACCGCCTTAATTACTTAAAACCCAAAATTAAACTGATAAAACTGTTAATTAATCTCTATATACGTGTAAAGGAGCTGCTCTTAATTGACTGACTGCCTAATAATCAACGTATAACCGGAATTATGTTGACTCGATTTGAATTAACTTTTGAAGCCTATGCTAGTTCTATAAGAGTTTTTCCTGTCGCAGATTGGCGCAGACTGTAGTAAACACAGCTTTTAGTATCTAAAGCTTTATTATTTAACGCTTTGGAGGTTTGACCCCAAAATGATGTTAAAATATCCACAATATTTCTCAAAAGGAGATGTTATAAACTCAGGAATAGTTTCGCAGGATTGAGTTTTCATAAAGGATTCTTACAAAAGCAAAATTTAATAAATCTAGCAACGAAGTTGATGTCGACCTTGAACTTAATTTTTGCTATGATCTATGAAGCCACCTGCAGATTTACAAAATTTACTTATATAGGAACCTACACATTTGACTTCAGATTCTAAATCTAAAGCCGATAATTCTTTCTCCAAATCCTGATTTTGTTTTTTTGAATTTAGCCTTGCCTCCATTTTTCAATTTAATCCGAAAGCCAGAAGAAGTTTTTCAAATGAATGCTGTAGTTTTAAGTCCGGTAATTGAAAGGGCGGGAAATTATGGAAAAGGAAAAATAATTATCAAACCCCGATATTTACAAATTAATTTAACAGATATTTATTTGTACTATTATGAATTATGCAGGCAAAATCCCGGACATCAGCTAATATAAATTATAAAATATGCTCACACTTAATGCATTTTATTATCCTTTGAGTACACTTCAACATCTTCTGACTTCTGTAATAATCCGACAAATGTATAATTCGGTGTATTATATTAATATACTTACGAAGTGCTTCTTTGTAAAGTATATAAAAAAAATGTTTAAATCATTTTTAAATACACAGAATTATTAATGTTCTGATAAAACTTTAATGATTTTCGAAAAATGAACCAATTAATTTAAAATCTTTGTTTCAAACGGTTTAAACAACAAACAAATAGTTAGAAATGTATTAACGACCGCAATGATTACTGATTTTTCTCTTAAATTTGTACAATCTTCTATAATAATAATTATATATATATTTTATTTGTCAAGAAGCTTCAATATATTTTTCTATAGAAAAGCTGACTGTGCATCAGACATTGTAAAAGTTTCACCAATATGCACTGTAAATACCTAAAAAGTATCTATAAGGATATGGAAATTTATTCTTAAATCCTTCACTGTGGATACTATGTGAATTATTACCTTAGTATTTTGATAAAATAATATTTGAAAAACGTACCTGGAGTTATCATAATATTATTCCGAATATTATACGAATGCCAGCAAACGAACTACGGTAGGTAACAATTTATGTCACAGCACGAATTATAAAAAAAGAACTTTTTGTCCTTTAGCAGTCAACATCCATCTGGACATGGTTTATGTGAATTTCGATCTTACATAAATAGTGACACCGCTAAATGCATTTACGATTTGTCGGTCTAGGTACAATCAGTTCTTTATCGTTATTAACGATTTACAGCGACTACTGTAAAAACAGTTGTGTGCTTCTTTATACGTGAAGGTATTGACTTAAGTACCTACCTACTTGTCAACTGTTTTACCTGCGTGAATTTCGGTTTACTGACGTTTAGAGATGACACCTCCGCGAAGGACGCTGGTGTTTTAATTATGACAAAACGTCTATAGCGCTTACGCATGCTTACAAAATTAAAAAGGACCTACTCGATCTATACGTACTTAGTATCATAATCGATAATGTACATTTTTTTTTATAAAAAGTCTAAGCAAAACTAACAATTCCTTTTTGTAATTCAAGGCATCATACCACATTATTTATAAGCTGCAATTATTGTGCAGTTTTTGCAAATCGCTGCTTTAAAAAAGCACTTTTCAGTAAAAGTGACATATAACAAAGAGGGCTGTGTTTTTCAAGATTTACTCTATGCATGTCTGTTCTTGTTTACCTAAAAAACTGTTGGAAACATAAGAAAAACATAATTGAAAACTGTTAATTTGCACATGTCTGACTGGCTGTCGAGCGTCAGCGATACGAAGGGGAAGTCGGTAACTGCTACCCTGCGCTGCTGCCGCGAGCTGTTGCCTGTCGGGGTTGATGTATAAAAAGTTTCTTTTCTTTTGCAAAAAAAAATAACGAGTGCAAATTTTAATAGTTAATATGTATGTCTTTCTTGCTGGGCCAATTGAGTTCAACTGGGGCTCATTTTGTTCGTCTTTTTATCGAGCAACTCGACTTTAACTTTTCTTTCAAAAGGAAAAAATAAATTATTGGTGTTATTTTTTTGCAAAACCCACCAAATACTTACTTGGTCAATCACCTTCTTCTAGACATCGCAATCTGGATATGGATATTGTTCTCGTTTAGCTTGCAGTTAAATTCAAATCTGAACCCCACGACTCAATAGTTCGCCAAATTGCTAAACTATAAAATTTTTGTTAATTTACATTTCTTATGAATTTTTCAAATCTATTAAAAAGAAGAACTTATTCGATTGAAACATCCGTCTGAAATTTACATACCTCCGGTTTTCTTCTATGTGTTTTCAGAGAATTATTATTAACATTGCCAGGCTTGATTTTTAATTAATGAATACTTTTCGTTTATTATCTCAATGTCAAAGAACTACGTCGGCATTTTTTATATGCATAAGTATGTGAATGTTGCACAAATTATACTGTTCGATATAGAAAAAAAACAGTTTTGTTACACACACCAATTTAAATTGACAGATACTTTCTACTAAGGGTAACGTTATTATTATTGTTAGCGTACGGAACCTTCAGGGCGCAAGTTCTCTTCGTAGTCACTTGTTTTTATTATTTTTACCAAAATATCTTATTTGTATATTTTATATTACGCCGCTACTTGAAGACATATATACACAAAGTTCTCAAAACATTTCACGATGATTATACATAGAAACAAGGACGATGATAACATTGTAATTAAAACATTACAAAAAATGGAGATAGTAGTTGGTGTGTGAACATTGCCGACGATATACTCAAGTAAAAATAAAAAAAAAACAATTTCTGGTTGATCAAACTTTTAAAATTGATCTTGTCCAGATAAAGCAATAAAAGTACTCGTGATTTATTAGATGTGTCACTGCGATTTATAGAACAACGTCGATAGGTAAATAGAAATAGATTTCATCACGTTGATATGTCGCAGTATTCTTGTGTAAGTTGCCGAGTTTAGGGAAAGTCTGCACATTTAATGCTAAACACTAAAGCCCGTAACAATTTTAGATGTTAAACGTTATTAGTCTATCTATTGTATATACTGCATCATTTTTTTAAACATCCCAATCAAACCAGCTCACTCAAGTTTCAAGAAACCCATAACTAAATGCTAGAAACTACATCACCAAAAATATCTTGGTAATTTTCCTAAACAAATCTTAAAATAAACCTTTTATCGTAAGATTTCTGATATAAGCACTTAACTAAACTAATTATTTGCTATTATATTGATTATGCCCTTGTAGCGAAAAGCAATTGAACTAATATGTCTTTTAGTTAATGGCCAGTACGAAAATTGGGCATCAGAATTAAATAAATACTTTTTTATCCTCTTTTATCCTCAACATTAATCGCTGCAGAAACAATTGAAGAACAGGTGTCCACTTATATGCTCTTACTACTTTCGCACAGTAATCGGAACTTCTGATACCTATTGATACTGTAATTAATAAATTCGGTAAAGAAATTGAGATAAATGATGCATACCTACTTATATTCTCGCTTTTACTTTAATTTTCACTATTTTTTTAATTGACATACAATTAAATACATCCAATCCAATAAGTCCAACAGTAACAAATTAAATGTGTTGATA